GAGCAAGAAAAGAAAAGAAAAGAAAAAAGAAAGAAAAAAAGAGACAAAATGTCTTTGGGCTAAGATAAAAAAGAAAAAAAAAAAACCAGAGAGACAGAGAGATATCTTAAATCAGTAAGCACCTAAAAAAAGAACAAAAGAACCCGGTGAAGGAAATAAAGAGCAGAAATCAATTGAAATGAAAAGAGAAAAAAAGAAAGAGATGATTCTTTGCAAAGATTAATAAAACTGACAAACCTACTAGCAAGAGAGAAGACACCAATTATAGTATCAGGAATGAAATGAGGTATACATTACTACAGATTTTACAGACATCAAAAGGATAAAACAACTATACATACATAAACCTGACAACTTCTTTATGAAGTTAGTGTTATCCTGGTATCAAAACCAGACAAAGACAGTACAAAAAGGAAACCTTAAAAATATCCCTTATGAAAGATATAGAAATGTTTATTATTATTAATAATATTAGCCAATATAATTCAGCAATATATTAAAAAGAATTATACATTTTGACCAAGTAGCCAGGGATGCAAGACTGGTTTAATATTTGAAAATTCGTCAATTTAAGTATACATATTCTTTATTAGAAGAAAAACTATGATCATAGAAATTGATGCAGAAAAAATATTTGAAAAAAATGCAATACCCATTCATAGCAAATTGTCTCAGAAAAAAAGGAAGATAAATTTGATAGAGAGCATGTACAAAAAAACCTACAGCCATACTTAATGGTGAAAGATAATACTTTCCCAAAAGATTGTAAGCAAGGACAAATGTCCACTCTCACCACTCTTATCTAACATATTGTTGAAAGTTCTAACCAGTGCAGTGAGGCAAGAAAAGGAAACAGACATAAAGACTGTAGAAGAAGAAAATAAAACTGTTCCTGTTTGCATGTAACATAATTATGAACATACAAAATGAGAAAGAATCTACAAATGAACTCCTAGAATTAGTAAGTTCAGCAAGGTCCAGTATACAAGATAAACATATTAAAAAAATCAATTGTGGTTGGGTGCTGTGACTCACATCTGTAATCCTAGCACTTTGGGAGGCCAAGGTGGGTGGAGTCAGCAGTTTGAAACCAGCCTGGCTAAGATGGTGAAACCCATCTCTACTGGGTGTGGTGGCAGGCACCTGTAATCCCAACTACTCGGGACGCTGAGGCAGGAAAATTGCTTGAACCTGGGAGGCAGAGGTTGCAGTGAGCCAAGATCATGCCACTGCACTCTAGCCTGGGCAACAGAGCAAGACTCTGTTTAAAAAACAAAAAAAAAAAATCAATTTTATTTCTCTATACTATCAATGAGCACATGTATACTGAAATTAAAAATACAGTATCATTTACAATTACTCAAAAAAGAAAAAAAAAGATTTAGGGGCAAATCTAACAAAACATGTATAGGACTTGCATGTGGAAAACCAAAATGCTGACAAAAGAAGTCAAAGACCTAAACATACACAGACATACTGTGTGTTCAGAAAACAGAAGACTCAATACAGTAAGAATGCCAATTTTCCCAAGAATTATACAAGCTTATTTCAATTCCTATCACGGTCCTAAGAAGATTTCCTGTAAATATACACAAATTTATATAGAAAGCATTTATATAGAAATTTATATAAAAAGCAAAGGGATTAGAATAGTTACAACAAATTTGAAAAATGAGGATAAAGTGAGAGGAATTGGTCTACCTGATTTCAAGACATAAATAGCTTACAGTAATCAATGCTGTGTGCCACTGGTGGAGGGATAAATAGTGGACTATAACAAAGGATCCAATAACAGATTTACACCAAAAACACCCAACTGGCTGGGCAAGATGGCTCACACCTGTAATCCCAGCACTTTGGAAGGCTAAGAAGGGAGGATTGCTTGAGCCCAGGAGTTGAAGACCAGGCTGGGCAACACAGTAAGTCCCTGTCTGTACAAATAATTTAAAAATTAGCTGGGCATGGTATTGCATGCCTGTAGTCCCAGTTACCTGGGAGGCTGAGGCAGAAGAATCACTTGACCTTGAGAGGTAGAGGCTGCAGTAAGACATGGTTTTGCCACTGCAGTCCAGTCCGGAAACCAGAGTGAGACCCCATCTCAAAAACAAACACACACACACACACATCCCCCTGCCCACCTGATTTTTTGGGGGGGAAAAAAAGATGTGCGAACTAAGTTTCTCACCTAATACAAAAATTAACTAAAAATGGATCCTAGGGGCCAGGTGTGGTGGCTCATTCCTGTAATTCTAGCACTTTCGGAGGCCAAAGTTGGCGATGGCTTGAGCCCAGGAATTTGAGAACAGCCTGGGTAGCATGACAAACCCCATCTCTACCAAAAATAAAAAAAAATTTTTTTAGCTGGGCCTGGTGGCACACACCTGTAGTCCCAGCTACTCAAGAGGCTGAGGTAGGAGGATGGATTGAACCCAGGAGGCAGAGGCTGCAGTGAGTCGAGATCGTGCCACTGCACTCCAGCCTGGGTGACAGACCCTGTCTCTAAAAAATAAAAAAGGATCAGGGACTTAATGTAAAAGATAAAACTACAAAAACTTTTATTAAATATCTTATTTTAATGTTTTGAGACAGAGTCTCACTCTGTTGCCCAGGCTGGAGTGCAGTGGCACCATCTTGGCTCATGGCAACCCTCGCCTCCCAGGTTCAAGCGATTCTCCTGCCTCAGCCTCTCAAGTAGCTGGGACCACAGGTACTTTTTTTTTTCTGGCTAATTTTTGTATTTTTAGTAGAGATGGGGTTTCACCATGTTGGCCAGGATGGTCTTAATTTCCTGACCTTGTGATCCGCCCACCTCGGCCTCCCAAAGTGCTGGGATTACAGGTGTGAACCGCTGCACAGCCTATTTATTTATTTTTAATAAAGACAGGGTCTCACCATGTTGCCCAGGCCGGTCTCAAACTCCTGGGTTCGAGCAGTCCTCCCACCTTGGCCTCCCATAGTGCTGGGATTACAGGCATAAGCCATTATACTTGGCCAACTAAAACTTTTAGAAAAATATTAGGAAATCTGGCTTTAGGGCTTGCTAAAGAGTTCTTATATTTGAAATCAAAAACACAGTCTATAATAGGAAAAATTAATAAATAAATTAGACTTCATGAAAATCAAAAACAAAATTAAAACTAAAATTAAAAACTTTTGCTTTGTGAAAGAACATTAAGAGGATGAAAAGCTACAGACCTGGAAGAAATATTTGCAAACTACATATCTGACAAATAACTAATAAATAGAAGATAATAAAGAACTCTTAAAGCCCAACAGTAAAAACACGAACAATCCAATTAGAAAACAAGCAAGAGGCATTAAGAAGGCATTTCAGCAAAAAGGATATACATGAAAAGATGTTCAACATCATTAGCCATTAGGGAAATGCAAATTAAAACCAAAACAAGCTGCTGGTCATGGGGGCTCATGCCTGTAATCCCAGCATTTTGGGAGGCTGGGGCAGGCGGATCATCTGAGGTCAGGAGTTTGAGACGAACCTGGCCAGCATGGTGAAACCCTGTCTCTACTAAAAATACAAAAATTAGCTGGGCATGGTGGTGTATGCCTGTGGTCCCAGCTACTCGGGAGGCTGAGCAGGAGAACTGCTTGAACCTGGGAGGTGGAGGTTGCAGTGAGCCAAGATCATGCCACTGCACTCCAGCCTGGGTGACAAGAGCAAAACTCCGTCTCAAAAGCAAAAAACAAAACAAGCTACATACCTATCAGAATGGCTAACATTAAAAAAAACAGTGGCAATATTAAATGCTGGTGAGGACACAGAACAACTGAATCACTCACACATTCCTGTTGGGAATGTAAACAGTTTGATAGTTTCTAAAGAAGTTATATGATCCTGCAATTGCATTTCTGGACATCTGTCCTAGAGAAATGAAAACTTGTGTTCACAGGAAATCCTATATGTGAATGTTTATAGAAACTCTATTCTTAACAGTCAAAAACTGAAAACAACACAAATGTTCTTCAGTGGGTGAATGGTTAAACAAATTGGTACATCTACACCTGTAATACTATTCAGCAATAAAAAGGATGAGGTATTGATACATGCAAAAGCCTGGAGAATTCAACTGAGGAAAAAAAGCCAATCCTAAAACGTATTTACTGTATAATTCCACTTATACAACATTCTTGAAATAACAATTGCAGAAATGAAGACCATCTAGTTGCCAAGGGTTAAGGAATGGACGGGGGCAGGAGTAGGAAGAAAGTAGGTGTTGCTACAAAACGGCAACACAAGACCTTTGTAATATTCTGTATCTTGACTCTATCAGTATCAGTATCCTGGATGTGATATTGTATTCCAGTTTTGTAAGATGTTACCACTGTGGAAAACTGGGTAAAGGACAGGGGATCTTTGTATTAATTGTTGTAAGTGCATTTCAATCTACACTAACTTCAAAATAAAAAGCTTAATAAAAAAGAAAAAAAATGATACTGTGTAACTTTCTGGTATTTGCCAAAGAACAAGATGCAGCTGGTAGATATTGTTAGCAAGTGTTCGAAGCTAGAGTTCTTCTGGATTCCCACTAGGAAAACAGTCTGAAAAGATCTCAGAACTGGTAAAACAACTTCTAAGGAAGTACTAAATGAAATCACTGTTTTGTGAGAACTTGAAAAAAAATACAAGAGTGATAAAATATACATTAAGGTATTTGGTTTACCAATAGGCTCCTAGCAGAAAATACAAAAGATCATCTGATAGACCTGAGCCTTTTTAACTGTTGAATTAGGACAGTACACTCACTGCACCTCAGGAGGACACTCAGCAAACATTTTCTACAGTTCACATCAAAAACAACAACAACAACAAAAAATCACACACAGACCTGATTTCCTTCCTACAATGCCAAAATCTGTTGTACTTTTCAAGAAAAATTCCATCCTTGTATTTCTTTGGGTTAAAATTCATATTTATTGACTTATCAACCAGAGGTCAGAGAGACAGAAAGTATGGAATCTTTAAACGTTCTCTTTGTTGATAGACTGCTGGGTCTACACACACCCTGTCCTTATTATACACCTCATGGTAACAACTGATGGCTGCTACTGAAAAATCTGAAAAGACATAGATGAAGAATGCCTCAAGTGCTGTTGGTATGAATCTTCTTTATTAATTAATTTATTAATATACATTACTGTAACAGTGTATGTTTCCTTTTTTCAATGAAATAAAGTTTATCATACTATAAAAGTAATATATTTATTGACAATTTGGAAAACCAAAGATAAAAAAAAGTTCTACCATTCACAGACTGCTATGTTAACATTATGATTTATTTTCTTTAGAATCACTCGATTGTGTATTTTATTTATTTATTTTTGAGATTTATTTATTTGTTTTTGAGACAGTCTCTCACTCTGTGGCCCAGGCTGGAATGCAGTGGCACAATCTTGGCTCAATACATCTTCTGCCCCCTGGGTTCAAGTGATTTTCGTGCCTCAGCCTCCTGAGTAGCTGGGATTACAGGCATGCACTACCAAGTCTGGCTAATTTTTTGTATTTTTAGTAGAGATGGGGTTTTGTGATGCTGGCCAGGTTGGTCTTGAACTCCTGACTTCAGGTAATCCGCCCACTTCGGCCTCCCAAAGCGCTGGGATTACAGGTATGAGCCACTACGCCCAGCCCAATTTCATATTTTATTTTTTTAAATATATTTTCCAGACCTACAGTTAAACTCAAGAGCTAATAATCAGCAGTTTTCTTAAGTCTGCTTAAATCTCTAAAGCTATCCTCTGTAGTCACCAGTATCTCTCAAGACTACGGTATAGGTCAGGCATGGTGGCTCAAACCTGTAATCCCAGCACTTTGTGAGGCTGAAGCAGGTGGATCACTTGAGGTCAAGAGTTCGAGACCAGCCTGGCCGACATGGTGAAACCCCGTCTCTACTAAAAATACAAAAATTAGCCAGGTGGCATATGCCTGTAATCGCAGCTACTTGGGAGGCTGAGGCCAAAGAAGTGCTTGAACCTGGGAGGCACAGGCTGCAGTGAGCCAAGATTGCGCCACTGCACTCCAACCAGGGTGACAGAGCGAGACTGTCTGAAAAAAAAAAAAGGAAAGATTACAGTACACATAATTGTAGGCAACTGGTTCAGAGAAAATACTGGAGATGATTGAGTAAATAAATGATTTTCAGAGTTACTTGCTAGTTTGCAGTCTTCTAAATCTTTCACTATTCACTTTGCAGTTATTTAATAGTAAGTTTAGATTGATAAATTCCACTAGCCACATAAACCACCTGATGGTGAGAACAGGTAGCAGTAATGTAGTCGTCCTTTTATTTGATCCTAGTTTCCAGATATTACAACAAATGTTTGTTATTATAGCAGCAAAGACCCATCAGGGGTTACCTTCTGATTATATCCCTGAAACCTGAAGAGGGAGAGAAGAAATAAGCGAATTCAAGAATCACTAGCCTATATCTTGGGGATGATTACAATGATGCCGTTAATCTTGCGGCAAACAAAATATAGCATAGAACCAGAGAACTTAAGAATAAAGGGAGATCTGATCAGTCATCAAGCTCAAACCTTTTTTGATGCATGAGTTTCCTTTCTGTTTTGGAAAAGTAGTTGTCCAAACTTTGCTTGAATGTCTCCAGGAAGGCCTGACTTCTTACCTGAAAAATGAAGGTGTTATAATATGATTACTTCGTCCCCTTCAAGTTCTCATAGTGTTTTCAGTGAAATGTAAACTTCTGTTGGCTAATTATTTTTTTTTTTTTAAAGTTTCTCCCTTTTTAGTAAGTGAAGTTAGTTTCCTCTATTCTGAAGTTACAAATCTTTGGCATATTTGTTACTATTAAAAAAAAATTTAATGTCGTGCTATCCTTATTTTTCTATGTATAAGTATACATTATACTTCCCTTATGATTTTCCTAATAATTCTGGGAGGGATGGTTTAGAAATCTTAAGAAACTTACATGAGGTCATTTATACAGATAGTATATGGGCAGCTAGAGCCTAAAGTGTTTGGACTTCAAAATCCAGTATTTTTCCCCATTGCACCTATAAAATGACCTACTTAAGGCCTATAAAATGTCTTATAAGCTACTATAACATATATCATCTACCTAAAAATATTTTCCGCATAGCCCGACATGTTATAAGTTAAGTGACTGACCAAGCGCAGTGGCTCAATCCCAGCACTTTGGGAGGCTAAGTTGGGAGGACTGCTTGAGCCCAAAAGTTCTAGACCAGTCTGGGCAACATAGTAAAACCCCATCTCTACAAAAAAATATAAAAATGAGATAGCGTGGTGGTGTGCACCTGTAGTCCCAGCTACTCAGGAGGCTGAGGCAAGAGGATCACTTGAGCCCAGAAGGTGGAGGCTGCAGTCAGCCATGATCATGCCACTGTTCTCTTGACTGTGTGACAGAAAGAGACCCTGTCTCAAAAAAAAAAAAAGTATAATCTAAGTCATAAAACCTAGCATCACAAACATGGGGGCCAACCTTAGATGTTTCTTGATGGAGTGCAGTAAGACAGCAACACCTATGTGGTATTCTGGACAAAAGTTTCATATGGCTCTGATCATGAGGGAATAATTAAGAAAATCTATAACATGGAACAATTTGTAAGACAACCTGGCTGGTCTTTTCAAAAGTGTCAGTCATAAAGAAAAGGGATTGAGAGGGCTGACCTAGATTAAGACAGTAAGGCCTGGTGTGGTGGTGTATGCCTGTAATCCCAGCACTTTGGGAGGCTGAGGCAGGCGGATCATGTGAGGTGAGGAGTTTCAGACCAGCCTGGCCAACATGGTGAAACCCCATCTTTACTAAAAAGACAAAAAGCCTGGTGGAATGGCTGGCGCCTATAACCTCAGCTATTTGGGAGGCTGAGGCAAGAGAATTGCTTGAACCTGGGAGGTGGAGGTTGGAGTGAGCTGAGATCATGCCACTGCACTCCAGCCTTTGTGACTGAGCAAAGATCCATCTCTCCCCACCACCCCCCCCAAAAAAAAGAAAGAGAGAAGAGAAAAGAGAAAATAAGCCTGGGCAACAAGGCAAGACCTAGTCTGTACAAAAATGTGAAAAAAATTAGCCAGCGTGGTGGCCAAGTGCTTGTAGTCCTAGCTACTCAGGAGGCTGAGACAGGATTGCCTGAGCTCAGAAGTTCAAGGCTGCAGTGAGCTATGATCACTTCAAGACAGAAGCTCTAAAGAAAGGAATTAAAGAGTCATGACAAAGGAGTTCTAAGATCCAAATTAAGTTATTTATTCGGAGTGCCTACACTCAGACCTTAGGTCACTGTTTCTTTCACATAAGTTTCACCCAGAAAGTAAGAGTTAAACTATCTCCAAGGTCTCTGGCAGCTCTGACATTGTAGTTCTTCCAATACACTCATAATATACAATAAATTGTGAACAGGTATCACTTATGAGCCCAATTACGAAGGGAAAATATAACTAAAATAAAATGATCATTAATTAGAGAAACTCAGCAAGGTACAAAAAAAAAAGTAAGAGGTTCTTTAAAGGTGAGCTCCTAAAGTCAATTTTAAGTCTAGACTTCTATGAAAGTAGACCGCCGAGATGTAAAATAAAAAAAAATTCGTTATTTAGCTTTTAGACAGGATTACTTTTTCTTTTTTTTTTTTTTTTTTGCTTTGATTATTCTGAAGCCTCTTGTAAGGCGTAAAGTGAAAGCTCTAAGTAGCGCGTCGTAGGAAATGAGCAGATCAGGGAAGGGGTGTTAGCCCTGGTGTTATGTCTAGAGACGATTTTTACTGAAAGGAGGATCTTCCCCCGGGCAGCTCAAGGTCACAGTGTAAATACCTTATAGTCTAATTTCGCTGTCCCAAAACAAGACCCCGACTCCCCAAATCCGGGTGGGGGGTGGCTCAAGGGCCTAAAGTTCCTACAATCGCCCAGGTGACACTATCCCCAGGAAGGTCTGAACACGACCTGGGGAAGCGCTGTCCGCACCCCCCCATTGCCCCAAGTACAAGCGGCGGCCTCCTCCGGAGACCCCGCCACCTTTCTGGAGCGTAACCTGCCACCTCCCGCCAGGGAACCCCGGATTCTCACGGCAGAGAAGACATCATACTTAAGCACAGGCTCTCGCATCCGACATCAGTACAAGGCTAGAGGGTGCTGGGGGCCGGCTGAGCCTCTGGAGGTAGAGTCGGGTGCAGGACGGGCGCCGCGGCCGCCAGATGGGAAAGAACACGTGGGAGCAGTGATGTCAAGTGACACTTAAACCCTTAGACGCCGATTCGTTATAACCTGAAGAAACCTGGAAGAAAAAGATGGTACCATCAGCGAATTCTAAAATCTCCTAAAGATTAAACTCTGTGATTGTCTGCTTAGACAACGCTTTGTATTCCTGACTTCCTCTCCAATAACAACCCGAATCTGTCGAAACTCTTTAGAAGCCTAATTTACCTAATCCCACCTCCCTAACGGTCTTCGGAAGCTAAACAATGTAAACAGTCCCTGATGAACACAAGTAGGATTACAAATCGGGAGCGAGACTGTAGAGTGGTCATGTGCGGCAATGTGCGCCCTTAAAAAATGAATGAATGAATGAATGAATGAATGAATGAATGCAATCCCATTGTGTCCGGAGTTTGTTTCCACCCGGAGAGGGATGGAAGAGCACCAGAGAGCGCTTAGCTTTCTGGTTGGATGTTTTGGATGAGTTTTTTTTTGGCGCGCATGCGTGTTGTGTCTCAAAGGCGGGTTTGAAGGAAAGTGGGTTGTGACCCGCGGGCAACTGAAGCTGTTGTCAGATTACACCTGTGACGGCGCGGGTCTCGGGCGTCCTGGAGACACGTAGGGGTGAATTTAGGTTTCCGACGACTGCATCTGGAAGGGGTGTGTAAGACTGTGGCTGAAGAAAGCTATTCCGCTTTTTATGTGGGTCGTGCCTCTTCTCAACAAATTTTAATCCCGCCTCCACATGTTTGGTTTTGCCCTACCAGCTCTGGGGTTGGGGAGTGCACTGTTACGGTTATTGTTGCTCCTGCGGCCATTCTTCTGTCATCTCCACGTTCACGTTTTGGCGTGGTGTATTAATAGTCTGAGTGGGATTAATGGGTAAATTAGACTTTATAGTAGTCTCTAATTCTGGATTCAATACCAAAATTTAGATTTTCAACTTTGTGGATGTTCTATTTCGACATTTTAAAAACAGTTCATTGCAAAGAGGTGAAAATTTTGTTCTGAAATCTTAAGGACACAGAGAAAGTTTTTCCGTCTGTAAGTGTGGAACTAGTTTTGTGACCGACAATATGAAAGGCTCTGAGGTTAGCCTGCAGAAGAAAAAAAGTGTTAAGATGCCAGCAAAGAGACTTCGTGAGGTAGTTTCTCAAAATCATGAAGATCATTTGGTTTTGCTGAAAGATAAGTTGCCCTGTGTTCCTCCGGCATTGTCTGAAAATAAACGTCTTCCTGTTGGAACGGGGACTAGAGTGAATGGAACATCACGTGGTATGTGATTCCACGTAGTTTTTCTATCAGTTTTAGTATATATAGTAAATCTTTAGTTCTTGTTTAAATTCCCAAATGTAAGATATAAGTCTAGTTTGTACAGATGTTTGAAAACTGACCCTGTTTCCCGGTAAAATGGCCAGGAAGCCTATAAAATGTTTGAATAGATAGAATGAATGACTGAAACTTTAACATCTCCTATTGTGCTTTTTTTTTTTTTTTTTTCTTTTTTGAGACGGAGTCTTGCTGTGTCTCCAGGCTGGAGTGCAGTGGCACGATCTCAGCTCACTGCAACCTCCGCCTCCTGGGTTCAAGGGAGTCTCCTGCCCAGCCTTCCAAGTAGCTGGGACTACAGGTGCGCACCCACCTTAGTAATCTGACCTCGTAATCTGCCCACCTCGGCCTCCCAAAGTGCTGGGATTACAGATGTAGCCACTGCACCCGGTGCTTTTTTTTTTTTTGCATGGGTGTTTGCATATTGTTTTTGTTTATATCTATGATGGATACGATTAACTTGTATAGTATGCTTTATTTTCCCCGAGTAGTGCTTTTTTTTTTTTTTTTTTTTTTGAGACGGAGTTTTGCTCTTGTTCCCCAGGCTGGAGTGCAATGGCGCGATCTCGGCTCACCGCAACCTCCGTCTCCTGGGTTCAGGCAATTCTCCTGCCTCAGCCTCCTGAGTAGCTGGGATTACAGGCATGCACCAGCATGCCCAGCTAATTTTTGTATTTTTAGTAGAGACAGGGTTTCACCATGTTGACCAGGATGGTCTCGATCTCTTGACCTCGTGAGCCACCCGCCTCGGCCTCCCAAAGTGCTGGGATTACAGGCATGAGCCACCGCGCCGGAGTAGTGCTTTTTATCTAATGACTACTTTCTTTGCATAATGGGAAAAGCAGGACTTCTGCCAGTTGATGGCTTCTGTATTCCAATTCACTTAACCTATCTAGAGCTTAGTGAAAATAAGGATAACTTATGCTTTATCCACTTTGCTGGTAATTATAAGGATCAAATTAATGAATATGTGAGCAAAAACAACCAAATGCTTTTATAATGCTGCTTTTTGTGGGATACAGCAGTGACACTCAAATAGTCCTGAAGCTAAATTAGACTTTTATGTTGTATACATATTTCTACCCATAGTTTGTCCACATTCAACAGTGTATGGTTATATTTTAAAATGTTTTCTGCTCATCTCACTTTATTGTCAGTACCGAACCTTATTATCCCAAATATCAACTGTAAAAGCCTTCCTTCAGATATATTTAAATACATTTTCTTAACTTTTTTTGCATGCAAATTGTCTTTCCAACTTATGCATTATATGGAGTTTTTAGTTCTTGAATCATGCCTATACTTTATAGTTTCTAAAGCTAAGGATCTGATTTTAAAGTCACTAAAATCTATTCCTTTGTTTTGTTAGGTTCATCAGATTTAACTTCTGCTGGAAATTGTTACCAGTCTCTATTAGAAAATCCCATGGTGTCAGAAAGTGTAAGCAAAAGGATTCTTAATTATGCTCACATACAAATTTTTAGTATTGTCAAATAATATATTCTTAAATTATGTTTGATTAGCAACATGTCTTGTTTTTATTTAAATATCACTTAGCAAAACAAATGTTTTATATACTACAATTCTGACTTTGAATGGTGTTTGAGACATTAAACAAAAGGCCTTCCCTAGAATAAAAAATACCCATTAGTAAGATAATGGCTGCTGAAACAGATATGATAACTGAAAAGAAATTCTCTTACTATTCAGGGAAAAGGCGTTCTTGCCCAGAGACTTAACATATTCTTAGATAAAATAAAAGGAACAACTAACAGTACAGTTTTTTTTTTAGAAGTGAAGTGTGCTTACATGTCTTTCTAACACTTGTAAGGTCTTTTGGTTTTTTTAGACGGGCGGTTCTTTAAGAATAACATGAAATTAATATCTCAACTTTATAATGCCAAAAATATTTGATAAATATGTTTTAGTTATAAGACCTAATTAGATTTGGACAGCTAATCATAGTTTTGACCTACATATTGTCAATTTAATAAGTCTGTATAATGAGAGTTTTACAATACACTATTTGAAAATTGAAGCTGGTAAATCATAATTAAAGTGAGACTACATGACAATTTTGTCAAAAGCTCACAATAAAATGTATAATTATAAGCTGTGCTTGGTCCCTAAGTAAATGCCTAGACTTTGGAGTGTTATTTTTGTTGTTTCGTCTTTTTTATTTTTAAGCAGACCTTATTTAATATCTAAACTTCTCAAATGTATGAATACACTGTTATTATAAATGGGTGATCTTTGTGATGTTGTGCCATCCTTATCTACTCCATTTGACTAACAATGAGTCAGAATTTCACATTTCACTAAAGCAACTGAGATGTTAAATGAGTTGCTCTGCTAGAAGTGGCAAACTGGTTTGAGTCTGAATCTCAGTGCCACATTTGCTTGCTAGTTCATTTAGTCATTCATTCACTTGTCTGATAGTGTATTACTCATTCAACAAAGCTTTTTCTTTTTTTTTTTTTTTGAGGCAGACTCTTGCTCTGTCACTAGGCGCCAGTCTGGAGTACAGTGGCGTGATCTCGGCTCACTGCAACCTCCGCCTCCCGGGTTCAAGCAATTCTCCTGCCTCAGCCTCCCGAGTAGCTGGGACCATAGGTGCACGCCACCACTCCCAGCTAATTTTTGTATTTTTTAGTAGAGACGGGATTTCACCATGATCTTGATCTCTTGACCTTGTGATCCGCCTGCCTCAGCCTCCCAAAGTGCTGGGATTACAGGCCTGAGCTCCCATGCCCGGCTCAACAAACCTTTGAGTAGCTTTAAGGCATATCAGCATTGCGTGGTGATGGAAATGAAGAATATTAAATATACAGTCTTGCCCCCACAGAACATAGTAGTCACATAGCTAGTAAATGGTTCTGGGTAAATAATGAATCATGAAATTATTTAGCCTATCTCTTCCTTTCATATCCCAAAGAATTTTTCTAAAGATGTTGCAGTGCAAGTGTTGCCTTTGGATAAAATAGAAGAGAACAACAAACAAAAAGGTAAGAGAATAAAATTGATTTTTTTATTGTAATAAAATGTACATAACATAAACTTTACCACTTTAGCTATTTTAAAATGTACAGTTCTGTGACAGTAAGTGCATTCACATTGGTGTACATTCATCACCTTTCATATCTAGAGCTTTGTCATCTCTCCCGACTCTATACCCATGAAACACTAATTGCTCATTTTTCCTCTTCTCGGCCCTGGGCATCCTACTTTTTGTCTCTATGAATTTGACTATCCTAGGTACCTTGTATAAGTAGAATCATACGGTATTTGACCTTTTGTAACTGGCTTATTTCACTTAGCATAATGTCTTCAAGGTTCATCCATGTTGTAGCATGTGTCAGAATTTTCTTCTTAAGGGTAGAATTTATTTTTAAACATTTATTACATAGCCTTACAGTTTTTATTTATTATTTTCATTTTAAATTAGTTTTTCCTCCAAAATTAAGCTATTGCTAGAATCTATAAAATCCAGAATAAGGTTTGCAATGGTGAAAGTTATCTTCTTATTACTAACCTATTGCATAGGTTTAGTATTAGATATGTTTATAAATTCTTTTTTTTTTTTTTAAATGGAGTCTTCCTCTGTTGTCCAGGCTGGAGTACAGTGGTGTGATCTCCACTCACTGCAATCTCTGGCTCCCAGGTTCAAGCAGTTCTCCTGCCTCAGCCTCCAGAGTAGCTGGCATTACAGGTGCGCACCACCACACCCAGCTAATTTTTGTATTTTTTTGTAGAGAGTGGGTTTCACCATCTTGGCCTGGCTGGTCTCAAACGACTGACCTCAAGTGATTCGCCCACCTTGGCCTCCTAAAGTGCTAGGATTACAGGTGTGAGCCACTGTGTTCGACCCCACATGAATTTTAAAATAGTTTTTTCTAATTCTGTGAAAAATGATCTTGGTAATTCAATAGGAACTGTGTTGAATTTATAGATGACTTTGGTTGGTATGGTCAATTTAACGATATTGATTTTTCCAATTTATGAGCATGGAGTGTTTTCCATTTGTTTGTGTCATCTGTGATTTTTTTTATCAGTGTTTTTTAGTTCTCCTTGTAGAGATCTTTTACCTTCTTGATTAAATGTATTCCTGGGAATTTTATGTTTTGGGTGTGGCTGTTAAAAATGTGATTGAGTTCTTGATTTGATTCTCAGCTAGAATGTTTTTAGTATATAGAAATGCTACTGATTTTTGTACATTGGTTTAGTATCCTGAAACTTTACTTAAGTCATTTATCATATCTAGGGGTATTTTGGAGGAATCTTTAGGGTTTTCTAGATATAGGACCATGTCATCAGTAGAGATAACTGGACTTCCTCTTTTACTTTTTGAATGCCTATTATTTCTTTGTCTGTCATTTGCTTTCACTGGGACTTCCACTACTATGTTGAAAAGAGTGGTGAGAGTGGGCATCCTTGTCTTGTTCTAGTTCTTAGGAGGAATGTGTTCAACTTTTGCCCATTGAGTATGATGTTGGCTGTGAGTTTGGGGTTATGACCATTCTATTATTACTTAATCACTTAATTTGTTCCTTGTCCTTTTCAATTGTGAAATGCTATGGCTGAATTCCTAAACATTCTTTTAGTTAAAAAATATTTTTTTATTACTTATCAAAATTTAATAAATATTCAGGAATTTAATATATATTTTTGTGTCTTGATTGTGCAGAAAATGACCTCTTCATTTGTCAGTATACAATGGGACAGAAAGATGCTCTAAGAACAGTTTTAAAGCAAAAGTAAGTTTCATTTACAGAAAATAATTGGATAATTTTTTTATGTTTAAGTATCAGCTTCATTTTTATTTTGGACATATGAAAAACTTTCTTTTCACTATGATATGTATAAAGCATTCCTCATGGTGCTAGCACATATAAAATATTCAGTAGCAGTTAGCAACTATTATTATGGAAGTGCTCTAGTACATTAACTCATTTAACTCAAACACCTATAAAATAGAGTTCATTACTATCCTAATTTTATAGAATCCCCATTTTATTTTCTTTATTTTGAGATGACATCTTGCTCTGTCGCCCAGGCTGGAGTGCAATGGCATGATCTTGGCTCACTGCAACCTCTACCTCTTGGGTTCAAGCAATTCTCCTGTCTTAGCCTCCCAAGTAGCTGGGATTCCAGGTGCTTGCCATCATGCCTGGCTAATTTTTGTATTTTTGTAGAGACAGGGTTTTACCATGTTGGCCAGGCTGATCTTGAACTTCTGGCCTCCTTGTCTTGAATTCCTGATATGCTTGCCTTGGCCTTCCAACGTGTTGGGATTACAGGTGTGAGCCACTGTGCCCAGCCAGAATCCCAATTTTATAGATAAGGAAACTGAGGTATTGAGAGGTTGATTTCCCCAAGGTCATTTAGCAAGTTGTTACTGGACTGGGATTCAAATCGAGGCAGTCTGCCTTTAAAGCCATCTCTCTTAACCACTCCACTAAACTGCTTATAGCAGTGCTCAATAGTTCCTTATACATAATACTTGTTATTTATTATCAGAGGACATTTAGACTTTTCCTGGTTAGAATCTCAGAAAGAGATGAGTTTAGCACCTGGATGTAGTGAAGAGAGACCATGGTTACTCCACCTAAATCCCCCCTTCCAACTTTATCTTAAATACCAAAGAAATCTAAAACCAACCCTGACAACAGCACATGAGAAACATGAAGGAAGACTACATTCGCTAGTCTGGAGGCAATTATTATTATCTTTATCATCAGTGGTAGCAGTCTGAGATTATTTTCATAGGCCAGATGTATTCTACTCCTGAACCAGAGCACTGTAGAAGTTGCCTTAGGACATAGAAAAATTTTTTACTTACTTTTGAATTCTCTTTTTATTCAAAAGGACATTTAAAATTACTTCAGTAAATGGAAAATCTGTAGTTTTTAGAATTTGTTTAAAAATAAATATACAGCCACTGCTTCACTTGACTAGCCTTAAATAAATAAATAAACAAATAAATAAATATACAGGCCAGGTGTGGTGGCCCACACCTATAATCCCAGCACATTTTGGGAGGCTTAAGTGGGTGGATCACTTGAGCCTAGGAGTTTGAGACCAGCCTGGGCAACATGGCAAAACCATATCTGTACCCAAAAAATATACAAAAATTAGTCAGGCATGTTAATGTGCACCTGTAGTCCCAACAACTTGGGAGGCAGGAGGTGGGAAGATTGCTTGAGCCTGGGAGACAGAAGTTGCAGTAAGCTGAGATGGTGCCACTCGCACCACTGCACTCCAGCCTGGACAACAGAGCTAGATCTGTCTCAAATAAATAAATACATAAAATTAATATGTAACTATTAAAATATAATATTTATTCTTTTTCCACCAGCAGTTTTCCATGGTATACTTATGTTCTGGGAAGCACTGGAGTAACAAAAAATAAATACTACCCCTAAATTGCAAACGTATGATCTGAGCCAGCCAGAGTTTCACAGCTGGTTCTTTGGTCCCATCAGATTTTTACTTTTTATATTTGTTTGCAATAAAATTACCAGTTCATAATATGGCAGTTCAGAGAGGCATTTGGATGGTAAATTATGTCAGAAATTTCTAAATATATAAGAAAAAACACTAGTTAGGGCATGGTGTAATCTGTCATCTTCTCTACTTGAACAAAAAATTGCAGATTATATCTGACTCTTTTGGATAGAAAGCAATGACCATTTCTATCCAGCAGACCCTTAGTGGATGAAGTAGTTGCTTGTAACCACAATGGGGACTTTATAAACTTGTCTTCCAATTTGGAGTGCAGTGGTGTGATCTTGGCTCACTGCAACCTCCACTTCCTGGGTTCAAACGATTCTCCTGCCTGAGCCTCTCAAGTAACTGGGATTACAGGCATGTGCCACCATGCCTGGCCAATTTTGCATTTTTAGTAGAGATGGGGTTTCTCTATGTTGGTCAGGTTGGTCTCAAACCCTTGACCTCAGGTGATCTGCCCACCTCGGCCTCCCGAAGTTCTGGGATTACAGGTGTGAATCACTGTGCCTGGCCTCATGAACAGAGTTCTTTAAAAGACAAAACAACTAAGGAGAATCTATGAGAAGGTAATGGCATTGTAGAGAATAATAACTGAATCAAAACTATAAAAATGACTCTCATGTTGGGTTAAAAGAGATTCTAATTAGGTCTCAAGAGATATACCTTTGAAATGAAACAGGCTGAAAATAAAAATACAAAGTATTTTGAGAAGAAAGCAAATTAAAAGAAAGAAGAATTAGCAATATCAATATTAGTTGAAATAAAATTCAAGGCATATGTGCTAAATAGACTAAATAGGACCAATTTTTTGGGCAAAGTATACACGTTTATTTTTTAGTTAGTTTTAAAAATGTTTAATGCAGATAATAAACGTAAAGAGTTTTAAAATCAAATACTATGAAAAACTTATAGTGAAAAAACCACCATCTTCTGCCCCACTATTTCCTTAACAACTAGGCCTATTCCCCAGAGGCAACTGCTTTTAATTCTTTTACCTCTTTCCTCTGAGAGGTGATTTCATAAATCAAAGTAATATATTTACAATACTACTTTTGATTTATTAAATGTAAGTCAAGCACAGTGGCACATGCCTGTAATCCTCTCTATTTGAGAGGCCGAGCCAAGAGGGTCGATTGAGCTCAGGAATTTATATCCAGCCTGGGCAACATGGCTTGGATTAAAGACGTGAGCCACCACGCCCGGCGTATACCACCTTTTTCTTTTTTTTTTTTTTTATTTTTTGAGACGGAGTTTCGCTCTTGTTACCCAGGCTGGAGTGCAATGGCGCAATCTTGGCTCACCGCAACCTTCGCCTCCTGGGTTCAGGCAATTCTCCTGCCTCAGCCTCCCAAGTAGCTGGGATTACAGGCACGCACCACCATGCCCAGCTAATTTTTAGTATCTTTAGTAGAGACGGGGTTTCACCATTTCGACCAGGATGGTCTCGATCTCTTGACCTCGTGATCCACCCACCTCAGCCTCCCAAAGTGCTGGGATCACAGGCGTGAGCCACCGCGCCCGGCCTACCACCTTTTTAAATCAAATTACAGCATATGGAAATTTGAGGTCAAAGAGGCTGAACAGTTAATTTTAGAAATTTAGTAGGAAAATAATTTCTTATAAAACCTGAAGGAGGCTGGGCATGGTGGCTCACTAGCACTTTGGGAATCCAAGATAGGGGGATCACTTGAGCCCAAGAGTTTGAGACCAGTCTGGGCAATATAGCGAGACTTCATCTCTACAAAAAAGGATTTTTTTTTTTAAATTAACCAGCATGGTGGTGTGTGTCTGTAGTTCCAGGTGTTTGGGAGGCTGAGGTGGAAGGGCCTGGGAGTTTGAGGCTGCTGTGAACTATGTTCATGTCACTGCTCTCCAGCCTGGGTGACAGAATGAGGCATCATCTCAGTAGAAAAATAGACAGACAGACAGATAGATGCTGAATGATAGGGAAAAAAGCAGGGAAAGTGGAAGAAACCAAGTATACCAGATAAAGTAAAACATAAACACAGTAGAATGTTTTCAACTAGTTCTGGAAGTATGTCAGTGTAATAAGCAAATCCTGGACAAATCCAAGTCAGAAAACTGGTGAGAGAATGCATGTTAGGAATGAAAAGAGGACATAATAGACTTAGAGAAGGTAAAAAGCAAATACTGTAGTAAGAATACTGTGTACTTAAATGCAACAAATTAAGAAATCTAGATGAAAGAAATAACTCACCAAAAATAACCATATAACTAAGAAGATTTTAATAGGTTAGCTACTGGGATGTAAATTGAAAGAAACCTTCAAAGAGCAATCTCCAAAAGCAGTCATGATTTTGTTTGAATTCCTGAAAAATTTTAAGAACCAGATTATGATCATGCTATATATTCTGATCCAGAGTAATAAAAAGCAAAGTATGCCACTCATGTCATTTTATGATGCTAACCTAGCCCAAGTATCAACACCTAACAATTAGTTCCATCAGAGATATTTTCATCATACTATTATAATTAAAAAAAACCTAGTTCATGAAATAAAATAATTTAATACTATTCTAATAGTTAAAGAAAAAGATACAATTATATTGATATATTATTATAAGTTAGCAAATTATATCTTATCATACATTGAAAAATTAATACACAATAATTAAGTAGAGTTTAGCCCAGCAATATAGCAATGTTTTAAAAACAGTAATAGCAAATTCTAATGTAACACTTATCCACCAGGCACTGTCCTCTGTACTTCTTTAGTTTTTTCTTGTTTGTTTTTTTATTTTGTTGGCACAGGGTCTCACTCTGTCACCCAGGCTGGAGTTCACGGGTAGGTTCACAGCTCACTGTAGCCTTGAGCTCCCAGGTTGAAGTGATCTTCCCACCTGGAGGTGACCCCAACCCCATCCCAGAGTAGCTGGGACTACAGGCATGTGCCACCACATCCAGCTTTTTTACTTTTTGTAGATATAGGGTCTCACTGTATTGCCCAGGCTGGTCTCAAACTCCTGCACATAAGAAGCCCTCCTACCTCAGCCTTTGGAAGGTGCTTGGATTACAGAGATGAGCCAACATGCTTGGCTGTGCTTCTTACATACTACTCAGTCTTTACAAAGGCATGTCTAAAAATGTTTCGAGCTTACAAATATGGACTAGAAGGGTTGAACTCACCCAGGCAGTCTGTCACCAGAGACAGTGCTCTTAGCCATTGCCCTACTATAATAATTCATGATCTATTAATATATTCATATGATTTGATCAAATAAGAAAA